AACATACATCACACCCCTAAACTTAAACCGTTGCTTGTCCCCAAGCAAACAAAAGACAAACAAAAAGACTCAATTTAAACAAAAATGCATGACTAAGGCATTAAGTGCCCACCCAATGAGAGTTATACCAAACATGAAGTTCATAGCCTTTCATACTTAGTAAAATTCTACTGACTTCGAGAGCCATTTCAAGGACGTTCGGACTATATTAGCCCCTTGGAACCCCGCTAGAGGCGCTGCCTTAGAACCCTGCAAGGAGCCGTGACCCTCTTGAGGCCTGCCTTATGGTGATCTAAGTTGATAGGGGCAACATTTATGAGTGTGCACTCTACACTTCCTAACTCACTTTGTTTGTCTTATCACCGTAATCTATCTCAACTAAATCACAATTACACCAAATAGTTGATCGATTTGAGTGAGGTGGAGAAAACAACCATCAAGATATTTAAGATAATCTTGAGATTCAAGAATTGGTAATAGTTGGTTTTTCCATAAAAGAAAATTGGTGGAGGTGAGTTTGATGGTAATCATATGAAATAGATTCAGGGGGTTGGATGGTGGGGGCGCCAGAATCCAACAAAGAAGATGTAGAAGTCAATGACACTGTTGACTGAAAGAAGGCGATCAACGGCGATGAGAGTAGAATCGAACATCAGGAACGTTGGTGATGATGCTGATTGGTCAAAGATGATCGCAAGTAGAACAATTATTGTAGATAGGAGGATGCAACGCTAGAAGGCTACAACCATTATGGGCAATTGTTGTCGGTGACTAGCGATTGACAAATGTCAGAACCGGATGGGGAGGATAATCCAAATTTCTCCTAATACCATGAGAAGATGGTTTTTCTCTAATTTCAACCACAACTTGAAAGATTAGTTTTGAGTTCTATTTATACTGAGAATTGTACAAATAACAAGAAAGTAAATAATCTATACAGTTAGTTTCCTAATTGTTGTACAATATGTCTAATACTAAAATCACCAATAAAGCCTTCCTAAAATTTCGTACACGATAAAAAATGATTGTTTAATAATTGTTTTGCATGGACAATTTCATCGACTAAAAACGAGTTTCCTAAAACAAATTTGTCTCAAGCAGGCAAAGAAGACAAACACATTAGTGAAATGCTATATTTTTTCAAATTAAAAACTTAAATGAAAAACTATTTAGGAGATACATACAAATAGTCTTACAAGCGTAATAACTATTAATTTTATCATAATTAAATTAAATTAACAAACTAAATGATTAATATTGTACCAAGGGCGTCTTTAGAGTATACAGAATCTTTAGAACAAGATAACAAGAAAATTTCACCTTGAAGGAAATCGTTAATCATCTAAATGCAGTTCAAGATGATTTACATTAAATTTACTAAAAAAAGTTTGTAGTTGATAATATTACTGGAATATAATGTTTTCAATAATATTTTATTTAAATACGTAATTGACAAACATATACATATATATATATATATATATATATATATAGGGTCATTCAAGAAAGAACTAATTAGTTTATGATAAATGTAAGATCTAATCTCAACCACAAATCAATGGTTAAATTAGGAAACTAGTTTTTTTGATAATTTGACAAAAAAAATTAATTGAACGGTATTTTAGGTGTTTTAAAATTTTTATCTCTCCTCTCTCCTCTCTTCGGCAAACTTCATTCTTGCGAACCTTATTTTGTCAAACACATGATGTACACTGTGATACCCTTCATAAATAACGAAAATAGCGTGATACATTTAGTAAAGCAACATTACCTATATATTGTGTTACACTTCGTAAAAAAACAAAAATATAGTGTGATACACTTCATATAAAATACAAAAAAATACTATGACATACATTATGATACCACTATGATACTAGATATGGTTGATCAATATGATACCATTGTATTACACCCAACGTTACATCTCCGACGATATCTAGGTTACATCCAAAAACCTTACATCTCTGGCGTTACATCTCTGATGATATCTGAGTTACATCTCCGGCGATATCTGCATTACATCTCCGGCAAGATATGGGTTACATCTCCTATCTAAAACGAAATGTGTGCAAAAACCGGAAGCTGAAATCGATGTGGGTGTGCAAAAACCAGATCTATGCGAATATGAATAACAAATACCGATCTGGGTTGTTTTTCTCGATTGGAAGAAGCCATCAAACTGGTTGAGATGCGACAGAAGTTTATGGCAGAAGCCAGATCTGTATGGCTCTCCATTCAACATCTTCGTGCTTGAGATGGAGATGGTTGAGATCGGCGGAGAATGTTTGAGATAGGCGGCGAGAATTGATGAGATCGGGCGACGAGAATGGTTGAGATCGTCGGAACATGTGGAGCTTTTGGAAGGGGATACCAAGGGAGGATCAAGAAACGATTGGCCAAATTTATTTGGAGTTTCAAATTACAAAAAAGATTAAATTTAGGGTTTTATGAGATGTCAAATTTACCAATTTACCATTTGTTTTATTTTAATAAATAATATTAATTATTTAAAATGGTTGGTTCATATTAGATCTCACAATTAACACAAACTATCTAGTTTTCATTTTGATTAGGCTCTTATATATAATGTATTCACTAATATTCTATGTAAATACATGATTAATATATATATATATATATATATATATATATAACAATTTACTAATGCATTTTTCTATTTAAAAGCATTCACAATGTGTTTTGTTAGGAGGTTCTACAGAGGTTTTTTTTTTTCACTTTTGAAAAACCTCATGTTGATGTTTTTCACATAGTGAGAGGTTTATGGTCACAAACTTTTCGTGAGGTTTTTGGTCATAGCTCGTAATTGCACGATTTGTTTTTCAAAGATTTTTGGTATTTAATTAGTTTTATTTATTAATATAACTAAAGTAATTATATTTAAATAATTAATAAATAAATAACATAAAATTAAAATAATTATATTTCTTTTTATATATTTTTTAAATTTATGAAATTACATATTCATTTACATCGTGAAATTTCTAAAAACCATATAAAAATATGTACAAATCTAAGACATATTAATTTTTATAAATACAAATATAAATAATATAAATTTAAAATAATGAGACCTTAAAAATATTATAAAAAAAGTTTGAGTGAAGTTTTTATCATAATAAAATCATATATATATATATATATAGAGAGAGAGAGAGAAAGAGGTTGGTTATTATACAACCCTTTACATTTGTATAACCAATACAACCCAATTTCAACCGTCCATTTAATTTGATGAATATGTAATTTAATAGAAGTTTTAATTGTTTCCAAATATAAAATATTGATCATAATTAATGAACCCTATTCGTCTTCCATAAATATTGAAATCATAATAAATACACTCTCATCATTTCTATAAATATCTCAATTAGTTGGGTTGCATTAGTTGTACAAATAGATATGGTTCCATTTGAAATATACCCTATATATATATATATATATATATTGTGAGATTTGTTAAAATAAATAAGTGATGATAATGAGTAATAAAAGAACTTTGAAAAAACTTGGTAAAAACAACTTCATTATGCATTTGTTTAGCCTTCTTAAATCATCGATCCTTACAAATTACAAGCCATTGACTCCAAGTCAATTGAAATGTTGAATTCACATACATCATTGTCGAACCCCCAACAACCCACCAATGACTTGACTATATATATATATATATATATATATATATATATATATATATATATATATATATTTTTATTAAAAAAATAGTAAATTACATTTTTAGTCCATGTAGTTCTCACTCATTGTCAACTTTAGTTCTTATTTTAAAATAGTTACATTTTTCTTGATTATGGTTGTCACTTTATTACACTTTTGGTTATTGCCACTTGATTTCAATTTTGATCCATCTGAGTAACTCTAGTTACAAAAATCTACTAACTCAAGGGTATTATGGTCCTCTTCTTCTATTTTGTCTTTTTCTTATTTCACTTAATTTAAAAACTCTACTTTTACTACTACCATCAGTCATAAGCGCTCCCTCTCTCTCCTTCTCAACGAAGTCCCTCTCGCACTGTTCATTTTTCACTGATGAACCTAAACAGTAAATCTAAATCCTAAAGCAACCAACACCCCCCCCCCCCAATAAAAAAAAAATTATAGCTGCCCTAGAGCCAACTTCAGCTAGATATTGTATTTTATATGGCTTGTTGTGAAGAGAGCAATGATGTCGTGATTTTGGGTGTTTGAGAATGCTTCCAACAAATTGAGACGTGCTCCAATTCCAATTGTTTCTTTAAAAAAATTGTATGTTCAAATTGTCTTCTTCGGGTTTGGATTTCGAATTTTATGTCTCAATTGTAAACAATGGTCTTATTTTTGCTTTGATATGTGAGTAGATCATTTTAAATTGTCTCTTCTCAATATCGATTGTGAACAATGTGTATGAGGGGGGAGATCGGTGTGGGAGGAGGGTGATAGAGTTGGATGAGAGGTGCAGATCGGTGGTGTAAAAGGTAGGGAGATTGAGCAAGAGGATTTACGGTGGTGAGCATAGGAACCAAAAATATAATTACTTCAAAAAACGGATTAAAGTTGATAATGAGTGACAACCACAATGACCAAAACTGTAATTATTAAAAAACGGAATTAAAGTTGATAATGAATGACAACCACAAAGATCAAAAATATAATTTACTCTTAAAAAAAATTAGAATTAATAAATACTCAATAATATCAATAAAATTTAACACTAGTCACATATTTTTTTGATAGACTTTATGAAATTATGACGTGGGGTCTTGAAAAGCTACACAGAATTTGTAAAGATAGATTTTATGTATTAATTTAAAAAAATACATTTTCCTTGATAAATTATTTTTAAATGAATTAAAATTGAGTTAAAAATAATGTAATTAAAAAAATGATTACAACCATTATTTTCTAAAAAAAAGCATTAATTAATATATTTGGAAGAGATAAAATTGTCCTATATAAAGCCCACCTTCACAGGCTGTTGATCCCACATCCAAACCATTAGCCACTATACCTTTAAACAAGCTCTTTCTCTTTTCCCTTCTAATCAACAATGGCGGCTATGCTTATGAAGATGTCTTGTGCGTTGGTGTTTGTGATGGTTGTGGTGGCGATGTGGTCGCCGGAGGTGGAGGCAGTGACATGTGGTGAAGTCGTGAGCGCCGTCGCACCGTGTCTTGGGTACCTGAGGAACGGTGGTGCTCCGCCAAGGGTGTGTTGTAATGGGGTTAGAGGGATTAGAAACAAAGCAAGAACCACCGGCGATCGGAAAACCATCTGCAATTGTTTGAAGAGTGCTTCTTCGTCTTACCGTGGTGTTAGCGGGAATTATGCCGCGAGTCTCCCCGGAAAATGTGGTATCAACTTCCCTTACAAGATCAGCCCATCCACCGACTGCAACAGGTATAACAAATCACACTCACACCGCAACTCATCATGAACAAAAATGAGCAAGTGTTTTAATAAGATACTACTTTATAGGACTTAAATTTATAGGATCAAAGTAAAAGTATTGTATCTAAAAGTGTTACAATATGTTTACAAGACGTTTTTAAACGTTTTAACAATTTTTTAGGATTCTCTTAAAATAAAGTGTTCTTTTTAACTATTTTATATTGACCATTTAAAAGAATATCTTATAAATACAAGTGTCCTGTAAAAAGATGGATTTACAGAACATTTTCGTAATAAACTAAAAGTTAATTTGGTTTATGATTTTCAAACATGTGAAAACCTTTTCTTGCTTTATTTGGTAATACTTTTAAAATTTTTGTTGTGTAGGATCCAGTGAAGAAGCAAAGGAGGAAAGAGGCACAGAATAAGACCCACAAAAGTCTCTTCTTAATTTGGTGCATTTGCAATTGATTAGTGATGATGTCGGCTTTAAAATCTAGGACTATGTAATATGAAAACATTCGTACAAGTATGAATAAAGTGATATTATCGTTTTTAAATTTATCTGAAAATATTTTTCTTCACTATAAAAAATTACAAAATGTACAATTAATATGGTTAAAGGTGAAGGTATGTAATATAATTCAATGTATTAAATTATATAATACTTATGAAATTTTTTCATGAAATTTTTTAATCTTGTGAAACTGTTTCATATAATTTTTTTTTGATGAAGTTGTTTCATATAATGAAATTTTAATTAAACTGTTTTATGTATTTCTCTGAAATTAAAATAATGAAGATGATAATATCCATGATTAACACCCTCTACAATAATAATTATTAATCAACCTCTCATAATTACAAAAAAATGAACAAAATAAAAAATTATGATTGGTTGAATGAAGTTTGTACAATTTGTACAAATAACATGGTTTGCAAAGTAAACCTCCTATATATTTATTTATATATATATATATATATATATATATATATATATATATATAGGGTTGGGTTCACGTGAGACCAGCCTGTTTTCGTGAGACCCGTGANGACCACATTTTTACACGTAACCTTCACAGCAAAAACACTGTGAAGGTTTAAAAAAATCGAACCTTCACAGCAAAAACACTGTGAAGGTTTTAAAAAGTCACTTTCACAGTATTTTGCTGTGAAGTTTCAAGTGTAAAATGTTGGTCTCACGGGTCTCACGAAAACAGACTGGTCTCACATGATCCCAAGTCTCTCTCTCTCTCTCTCTCTCTCTCTCTCTCTATATATATATATATATATATATATATGGTCAAGTTCAAACAAGAATGCGATCAATTTATGAATAGATGGGAAGTTTCATGATCATATAGTTGAGAATAATTTTCTCACTTTTTATTTATAGGATATTGATTCATAATAATCAGCACACAATATTTCCACCATTTGTTTTCTTACAATCCCCCTCAAACTTGTTGGAATATGTCTGTTAGACCAAGCACAAAGCTTAGTTCAATGAGGTGAGGTCTAAATAGGGCCTTGGTTAATATATTTGCTGCTTGATGCCGAAAGGGAACATGGTTGAGAGAAATAATGTTTCCTTCTATTTTCTCACATATGAAGTGCTTGTCAATTTCTACATGTTTCGTTCTGTCATGATGGATTGGATTTTTAGCCATAGCTATTGCTGATTGGTTGTCACACATCATCTTCATAGGTCCAGAAATTCCACACTTATGTTCCAGTATCAGTCGATTTAGCCAAATTCCTTCGCATATACCGTGAGCTAAAGCTCGAAACTCGGACTCGTCACTGCTTCGAGATACGACATGTTGTTTTTTACTTCTCCATGTCATCAAGTTCCCCAAACAAATGAACAATAACCGGATGTAGATCTCCCGTTAATAGGGGATCCGCCCTAGTCCGCATTTGTATAAACTTCGAGAGACCGATTGAGTGTTTTCTTTTATATTAATCCCTTTCCAGGATCCTTTTTTCAGGTACCTAAGAATTCGAATCGCATCCTTCATATGGTCCATTGAGGGATTGCTTAAAAACTGACTAACAATCCCGACGGAAAAACTTATATCAGGACGAGTGTGTGTCAAATCTATTAACTTTCCCATCAAGCGTTTGTATCGCCCTTTATCAGTTGCTTCCTCTTTAGTCCGAGATATCAATTTCGTATTAGGATCCATAGGAGTTTCAACCGGATTGCAACCACTGATGCCAGTTTCATGCAGGAGATCCAGGACGTACTTGCATTGAGAGACAAAGATCCCCTCTTTCGACCTGGCTACTTCCATTCCTAGAAAGTACCTTAGTTGTCCAAGGTATTTGATTTCAAGTTCTTTGGATAAAAGAATTTTCACTCTTCTCATTTCTTCTTCTTCATGATGTCCTGTAAGGACAATATCATCAACATAGACAATTAGCAAAGTAATTTTCCTATTTGGGAAGTGTTTGATGAACAACGTGTGATCATCTTAAGACTGTGAATAACCATCTTGTTTGAGCACTTTAGAGAAGCTGTCGAACCTTGTTCTCAGAGATTGTTTGAGCCCATATAATGCCTTCTTCAACTTGCACAATTTTCCTTTTGTTTTTTCCATTTCAAAATTGGATGGTACATCTATATACACTTCCTCCCGTAGGCTTCCATTCAAGAAAGCATTTTTTTCATCGAGCTGGAATAAATGCCAGTCTTGATTGACAACAATAGACAATAGAACACGAACAATATTAAGTTTGAACCCTTTTGCCACTAGACTAGCCTTGTATCTATCCATGCTTCCATATGCATTATCTTTTATTGAAAAAATCCATTTACATCCCACGGTTTTCTTACCAGGTGGCAAAGATGTTAGGTGCCATGTGTCATTCTTTTCAAGAGCATTGTATTCATTGAAGGTTGCTTTTCGCCATTCTGGTACCTTCAAAGCTTCATAAACAGAATTCAAAATCGCAGTTTTATCCAAGGAAGTCACAAAGGATCGAAATTTCTTTGACAAGTTTGAGTATGAGATACAACTTCGAAATGGGTGTTGAGTACATGATCGAATCCCTTTTCTTTGAGCAATGGGAAAATCTATCTTCGGATCATTTGCTATTATCTCCTCTAACTCTGATTTTAAACTCGATTCTGTCTCATTGTGTAACCTTTCAGGATTGACTGAACTAGGGAAAGATTCTTGACTTTGCTGGCTTCGTTCTAGTTCCAAAGGTTTTTCTCTTCTTGTATAAACTTTTATTTCTTTATCAGGGAGATTAAGGTGTTTATTTCAGACAGACGACTTATTTCAGACGAATCAAGAGAATTTTGAGGAGACGATGCACGAGAAGGATGACTTGTTCTTGAGTCAAAGATGGTTGTCCATTCCCAATTTTGTGATTCCTGAGTGCTATTCTCCCCCTGAATTGCAAAAATGGGAAACAACTATGTATGCTTAAAGAATGTCACATTCATAGCTTTATTGAATTTGTGTTAACGGCGAGTAACATTTACAGCCTTTTCATTTGCTGAGTAGCCAAGAAAAAGACATTTAAAAGAGATAGCTTCAAGTTTGATGCGATTGTGAGGGTGAACATGAACGAAAGCAACACAACCAAAAATTTTGAGTGGGAACTGAGGCACAAGTCTGGGGGTTGGGTTGATTTCATAAAATTTTTGCAAGGGATATTTAAATGTAAGGACACGAGAATGCATTCGATTAATGAGATACGTGGTGGTTAGAACAACATCGCCCCAAATATTTTTAGGAATATGGGTTTAAAGGAGTAAGGCTTGAGCAATTTCGAGGATTTGACGATTTTTGCGTTCGGCCACACCATTTTGTTGTGGTTTGTCCACGCATGAGCTTTGTTGAACAATTCCATGAGATTTGAGATAATAACCAAGATTTGAATTGAATAAATCCCTAGCATTGTCAGTTTTGAGAATTTGAATATTGGTTTTGGACCATGGCATGAAAATGTTGGAATATGGGATTAATTTCAGTTTTATCCTTTATAAGAAATGTCCAACATAATCGAGTATGATCATCAACCAGAAGTAAAAACCATCGAGCACCCATGATATTTGGGATCTTGGTTGGTCCCCAAATATCACCATGAATGAGTAAGAAGGGGTGATCTGGTCTGTAAGGTGGTGGAGAAAAAGTGCTACACGTGTGGTTTGCGAGTTGGCATACTTCCCAATGTAAATAGTTCTGATTTATATGAAAGAACAATGATGGAAACAAATATCTCATATATGAAAAATTAGGATGACCTACACGAGAATGCAACAACATAATTGCACTCTCTTTATTCGACTGTAAGACAGACTTAAATCTACGAACATGCTCTAGCGGAGGCTTGACACGAATCTTACTAGTTGCGGAGTCGGGAGTTGATGAAGTGTTTACATTGAGAAGATATATACCTTCACGAAGTTCAACATTGCCAATCTTCATCCCCAAGTTCATTTCCTGGAATACACAATATTTGGCAAAAAAAAAACTTAGTTTCAACATGGAGATCACTTTTTAATTTGCTCATGGACATAAGATTACAGTCTAGATCAGGATCCAATAGCACATAGTATAGAGTAAGAGTATTTGAGAGGTGAATTGTTCCTGCCCCTTCCACAACGGTGTGAGTACCATTCCCTATGCGAACGGTTTGCTTCTTATTGCAAGGGAAAAAACTTGAAAAAAGAAATCTGTCACCTGCTATATTATTTGAAGCACCAGAATTGATTATCCATGATGAAGAAGTTGAACTATCACCAACATGAAATGCGAGATTGCCTTCATTATTGGCAGACGATGAGATAATAGCCTTGCTTATGAGCTGTTGAAGTAATGCCAATTGGTCCTTTGTAAATGGCACCTGATCGTTGGCTTGGGACTCCATAGTACCTCTTGTATTTCCCCTAAGCTCACGGTCTCGGCTTGGTTTCCAATTTTAGGGCTTTTCATGCAGTTTCCAACACCCTTCTTTCAGATGACCAAGCCTTTTGCAATGATCATACCAAGGATGTCCTTTTCCTCATCGATTATAATTGAAGCTTGAAGACACTCCTCGGGAAGCTAAAGCGACAGAGTTTAGAGCGGGATCCTTGAATGGTGCGAGAGCTGAAACATCTAGGGAAGAAGATGGATTGGTTAGTCCCATCATGATTCAATTACGACTTTCCTCTCGACGTATTTCAGAAAGACTTCCCGTAATTTTGGTAATGATTTCATCCCTAGGAGTCTTTCACGAACTTCATCAAAAGACTTGTTGAGACCCATTAGAAACTTGAAGATGCATTTAGTTTCCACAATGGTTTTGAAATAAGTTTGATCGTCAGAACACTTCCATTCATGTGATTCAAACAAGTCTAATTGCTGCCAGTAACGAGTGAGAGTTGAGAAATAGGTGGTAATGGAGTTTTCTCCTTGACATAAATCCTGAAGAATACTCTCTACATGGAACAACTCAACTATGTTTTCACTACTGGAGATGGTTTCTCGTGCAACATCCCAAATTTCTTTCGTAGTGGTGTATAGAAGAAAGTTCTCTCCTATTTCAGTTGTCATTGAACTAATCAACCAAG